CCTCCCTCACCCTTCTTCCTCCAAATCTCTTCTTTGTCTGTCTGCACTTACTGCTCCTGTGGAAAGAAAAAAAAAAAGGAAAGAAAGAAAAAATAAATAAATAGCACTAATAAGACGTGACTTAACACGGCCATTTAAATATCTAACTCTCCTTCTTCCTGCTGTATTGCTAATACACACATCGCACCCTGTTTAAGGCTGACAAGGAAGGATCTGAGTGTTTGTAACATCTTCTTTTAGCAGATCTGTTGCTCTGTCCTTACAGAGAATGCTATCTAAGGAATTCTGAGTGTCTGTAGGTGACAACAGTGGGTGTCACACTCATCTGTGAGGAGCACTTCTGCGATAAGCTTAGATCCCACAGGGAGTCCTGTGGGTTTCATTCTGTGACTCAAACATATCTAACACAGTCTATGGCTGTTTTCTGTCTTCTTGTAATGCACAGCTCCCAGCACTCCCAAGCTAACAGCTAATCAAAAAATGAATAATTGCAGGCTGCTGCCTTCTCTGCCTCAGAAAAGCCTGTAGCCTTTTACCATCCACTATAGGGAATATTTGCTGGCTCCTAAGGCGGAGTGACTGATGCACTGCTAAACACTGGGGATGTGTAAGTAGCTGGAGAACGTGGAAGATCATATTCACAGATGATGGGTTATGATACATTTAGAGGATTTTAGGGTTGCCACTGTGCCCTCTGTCATGGCCCTTGGGTTCTTGCACCCATCACAAAATATTTCCCTTACCTCCCAGTATAGGCTTTCTTTCTTAGGTAAGTGGACCAGTCTTACCTTGGAGTATTTCAGGTCTCTTCATAATCCCACAGACTAATGAGAACCTCCACAAAAGGAAATGTCCATCCAGAATTCAAAAGCATTTACTCTAATCCTGCTGCTTTCCATCCATTTTCTCTCCTGCTGTTGTGTGTTTCCTTCCCCTGCTGGCAGTGGTGCCGCATGCTGATGGAACACACCTGGCCCATCCCGGGAGGAAGCTCTGGATGGGTTTATTGGGGAGCAGAGCAGCAGGGGGAATTTCAGTGCATCCAATGACTCTCCTACCTATGGGATGCCTGCAGGTAGCAGCAGATGCTGCCATTTCCTATGGCCACAGCAGTGCTGCAAGCGTGTGACCTTCAGAGAAACATATCCAGCATCCTCTCCCTGGTTACATACTGTAAAGCTGTAATGTTTGTCTATTTAAGAGAGAAAAATCCCTATAAGTGCTCGAAAAAGGAGATTTGCAGTGCTAAACTCCTCAGGCTGGCTGAACCTGCAGATTTTGTTTCTTGATGCAAAAGTGCGTGTGGGAGAAGCTGGGCTTCAGATACACTTGGGAAGTGATTTCCTTCCGAGGGCACAGGAGGAGAGGATGGGGGCCTTTATTTGTTCTTTGTGCGGCTCTGCACTCCTTAGCAGCACTGGCGGGATGCTGTAACACTCCTGGTGGGCCCCGTAGTCACGATGGAGAAGCGGCCGAGCTTTCGGATTGGCCTGAGCGAGGCCTTGGCAATCCAAATCTGACAGCTGAGGGGGGAACCCCGTTTTAGAGGCAGGGGAGCTCGGTTCAGGGCTGCTCATCCCGGCCTGCCCCTCGCCCAGCAGAACGTCGGATGGGCACTGCCGCCCTCTGCCGGCCCCCCAGCGCGCATAAACGAAAAACCGAACCCTAACCGAACTAAAAATGAATAATAATAACAAAGAAAAAAACGAAACCCACGGAACCGACGAAAGAAACAAAAAAATCAGCACGAATTTGCAAGACCAGATCACAGAGGAGCGCAGGGAACACGCTGCTTGCTTTTGGATTTTGCTCAGCACGTCATAGCGCTGTTCATACCTCAGTGCCCCTGAAGCAGGGGGCTGTTCCTGCCAGCAGGCTGCTTGGAGAGATAGGGAGGGACCAGCACAGAGCTCTCCCGGACACTGGGAAAAGAATGGAAGAATCTCCACGTACTGAGGCAATGGGGAAGTGGTGCTTTCAGCAAGCACTGTTCCCTTCTGTGTCACTGGGCTCGCAGAAGGAACCATCCTCCTCCTAATCTCACTCCCAAAATCTGGAATCCTTGCTTCATCTTTGAAAATGAAATATGTTAAGTATTAATACTAAAACTCAACTCTACTTATAGTACTTACAGGAAGGGATTTTAATGTACTATGCAAGGAGTTGGGCTTGATCTCTTCCAACTCAGAATATTCTATGATTCTATGAAATGCTAACATTTAAGGTAATGATAGAAGGAAAATAACTCTACTGTATTTTTTCTTGCTATTTTTTAAAAGAGGATCAAATTAAAAGAAGGACAGGCTGTGTTAGTTACTAGCAATAAGCAGGCATCAAACTTACTGCTCCTTGCTCCTGGGGCAGGGAACGTGAAATGCCATGCGCTGTTACCATCAGGGATGTAGAAAACAGTGTGCAGGAGAGGAGAGAGAAAACACTGTCTCCAATTCACATGCTGAGAAGAAAGGCACAGGAATACAAAAACCATCCAAAGTCACCTGTGAACTGAGCTGGGGATACAGCACAAAAGCCTGAGCACTTCGATCTGCTCCATTGTGGCACTTCAAGGAAGCAGGAGAGGAGAAGTATCAGGATGTCTCTGTGCCACTATTGATGCAGAGCTTTGCCATTTTTTTCTTGTAGGGATTCTGGGGGAACAAAGACTTTCCTCCTGCTGCTGTCACTGCCTGGAGGTTCTCTTGACCTTTTTTTCCCCTCTCATTTTTCCAGGTGATTGAATTGTTCAGTCAGAAAGCATGAATGCATTGCCAAGACGCTAGGAATTTTACCACCACAGCAATGATAATTGCCGAATACTTCAGGCCATATTAGTTTCAGCACAGACTGCCCCTCAGCCAGGGATGACAGAGTGCCAGCAGCTCCAGCACAGTGACTGACAGAACTGGGACGTGGCAAATAGCATTTCCAAAGCCTGCAGCAGAAGGAGAGCTAGAGGATATGCTTTGCATTACAAACAGTCATTGACTATATTCTTAGAACGAGGGATAAAGTAGAATGGGCCATGACTACTTCCCCTCTAAACCATTTCACTCGAAACATTCCCATCCTCTCATTCTCCTTTGCTACACTGAAAGACTGGCACGTGTTCTACCAGCATAACCTTACCTGTGTTCCTAAACTACATTATGTGTTTGTACTAAATGAAAGGGATTTTGCTAGCCATGAAAGTCATATGAATTGAAAGAACAGTTTAGGGTGTGACATCCACTGATAGGTGAGTAAAAGGACTTCTTGCTCCCCTCAACTCAATGCTGCCATTGAACTCAGTACTTCACTACTGTATTCCAGGTCTCTATCCTATATAAGTAAAGAGTAAAGCACAGTTGAGACACTGAAGATTTTGACCCCCACACAACCTCCATTCCAGCCAGCTGTGTGGTTTGTAACATTCCCAGCACATCCATGCCTGGCACTGCTCAGGTGTGAGCAACTCACCTCAGCCAGAAGAGATCCCTCAATGGGACACCAGCCCATTGGGCTTTCAGTCTGCAGAATAAAGATTTGCCTACCTAAATTCTCTTTTCCTTCATTACTATGATGTATTCATTGAGTTCTGGAGGCACAACTAAACTCTGATTTGTTTAAGTCTGATAACTCAGTCTATGTAGTTTTCCTTTTCCAGGTCTAAAAAAGCAGCACTCTTTCCATGCTTTTTTCATGCTATCCACTATTGGCAATATTTAACTTCTTTCTAATTTCAGAGTCTGCTTTGAAAAGGCTAGCCATAGCTTAATTATTTTAACATAACTTTAATTATTTTAACAATTCATTTCCTGCAAATAATTAAATTTTAATAAGTTAAATCACTCCTTAAAAATGTTACATTCAGAAACAACCTGAGCAACAGCATGGAACTTCTCTGAAGCCACGGCATGGTCTCAGGATGAACTCAATGCGAAAGGAATAATCTCAGTTTATATAGATCCCACCCTCGGTGGAATAAAAATACAACACCAAAACCAAAACCTACACAATTAAATAGGAAGTGGAATGTGTAGAACTGCCTAAATACTCAGCTTTTAAGAGTATTAATGTATTTTATTCTTGAATGGCTAAAGAAAATTTCATAGCAGGGATGGAATTTTCAATTCAGTTTCATACAGTGGATTAAAAATATTCTAGGGCCATTACAAAAATGCCATTAGGTTTTACTTACAGCACAGTCAAAAGAGAACTGTGATTTAACTGAGACTAGAATTCGGACATAATTTTACATGCTTTCAGCATTGCTCCCTGCAGATTGGGTTATTTATGGGTTAAGTGCCCAGAAACAAGGGAGGTCACAGTGTGAAATATGTTTGAAAACCTGGAATTAATTTGATAACTTTTGTTAAGAGAATTAATAAAACACTGCACGATTGGCCCAGCATCTACAGATCCACCTTCATTCTTACTTTCTACTGTAACAACGCTCAATCTACTACATGTGGGTTTCCATTGATGCAAAACATTGCAATTGTCACTCAGGCTCAACACTGTTCAATGAAATGTTCAGAACAAGAAATACATCTTGGGCAGTGGCCAAAGAAAGAGTGTAATTAAGCAGTTTAAAATCAGCTTGCTGTACTTCCCCAGAGAATTGTTATATACTCCTTTCAGCACTACAGAATGAGACGCAGTTGCGTAACGTTTAAGTTGTATATCCTCTGTATGTCATGCTGTTGACAAAGTTTGGTATCCTTCATGGCACAGAGGTCCCTAAGTCAAGTCTCAAGTAGTCACTACACAAAATATCACTTTAGATTATGAGTTACAATGTGGAAGTACTCAGCACATCAATGGCTGTAGATCAATAAAAGATAGTGTGTTAACAAAGGCCCCTAGCTTAATCTTCTGCTCTTCCACTTAAAAAGTGATTTTTGAATACCATCAGAAGACAACACTCATAGAGGGGTTCACTACAGAGACTGAGGTAAGGACAAGAAGGTAAAAATAAAATATACCCCATACACACAGAAAGGATCACAAAAACATATGAATGTTTGTAACAGGTTTTACTTGTAGAAAAGCAACATTTCAGCATCATTTCACAATAAAAAGATTTGTTTGGTGTTACACAGACATGATATATCAACTCAGAATACATCAGGTAAAGCATACTGTAGTACTTGGTATAAAAGTTATGAGATACAGTGCTGTATTCAGCCAGTTGTTTCTGGTGACACTGCATGGTTGCTTGCCTAATTACAGATCCACTCTACTTCATATATGTCATCAGTATATTTTGGGATATAAAAATCAAAAGTATCAAAATACATTGAAATGTGTTTCAAAAAAACAACCAGGACCAAATTCTCACTGCACAGTAAGAGCTCTACCAGATTCTTGAAATAAATGGCACTTCATATGTAACTATCCATCCTCATTTTCTTGCTTCTGTGTTCACAGTGTCATTATCAGGTTTTTTCATGCAGATGATAAGCAGTAAAATGAGCAATTACTTTTCATGGGGCTTCTCCACCATCTTCAGTGCTAATCTTCCAACCATCAGCAAACTGTATAAGGTGAAAAAGACCCAGCAAATTCACAGAATGAAACAACAAGTTATAACTTAGCAACTCATTTTCAAATATTTCTCATGTAACAGGTGCAGAGAAACAAAAAAGATGCAGAAAATAAGATTTACTCCATCTCGGTTGAATTAAGGAAGTAAAAAAGCCCCAACAAAACCAAAACAGTACAGTGTGTTGTACCTGACACCAGCAATCAGCCCTGCAGGCATGAACTTTCCAGAGTTGTAAAACCTTGTTCCCATTACGGCAGTCAGTGTTCCAGATGTAACTGAAATGAAAGATTAAAGAGTTCGGTCAGAGGAGATGTACACGTGTAAGAGAGATGCTGCAGTTCAGAACAGAAATAAGTAAAAACCAAGTGAAAAGTGGAAAGGGTTATTTCACATGATGGACCTTAAAAAAAAGGAAAATAAACTGCAAATTTTGGAGTGCCTCAGTGCATGAAGAGCGCATATTCTAAACCAGCTTCTGGCAGATGCTGCACCCTGTGCTTCTGCACACACACTGCAAGTTTGTTTGTCAAAGTGAGCTTCTTTAGAGACTGGAAATAACCTACAGCATGTTACCCTGGAACTCGACTCTTTCCCAGCAAAACGCTAAGCCTGCACATGTAATTTCCCCACTTCTTGTAAGAGGGAGATAGCATTTTCTTATCTGTTACCAACCCTTTACAGCCCCGCTTCACCTACTGCTAAGGTCAGAGATAGCTATCCACCCTGACCACCTGACACTGAGAAAAGTGACGGAGTTTCACCCAGATAGTAAAATAGAAAGGGCAATCTCTAGAACACCGGATCTTGAAGAAATTCCAAAGAAAACTACATGGAAATGGTGCCGATGAAATGCTTAGCATGGAGCTGCTATCCAGGGGTAACAGCTGCATGTAACAATGCGCTTGGAACAACATGTTATCTGGTTGCACTGCTTCTGTGTGATAGCTGGGCTGGCAAAGCCCCGCTCATTTCAGCCCTAGTCATGGCATTCTTCCTCCCTAACGCTACTCTAAAAATTGTCACTGACATCTAACAGTCTTGTTTAATTACACACGTAAAAGATTGGGACCACAATCCAACAAGAAGAAAAGTATTTCAATATTCAAATGCCTCCAGCTCTGATCAATAGCCAGTATTCAGAATGTGCACACCAAACGAAATGCATTTTCGTCCAAAACATAGCTTCTCCAAAAACCTCAAAGCGTGAAAGGGAGAATAAAAAAGCCTCTGTGTGTTACTGAACTATCAAAAAAGTATCTGACTGTCACTGACATTTGGGAAAATACTTGGTCTCAGTCCAGTTCATCTGGCTGTGCTCACAGCTGATGCCACTCGATGAGGCGTGACTGTGCACAGCCTCTGACCTGTCTAGTAGCTGGGGAAATGGAAGTGAGCTGCACTGCAGACAACGCTAAAACAGAGAAATGCTGAGCCCTCTCCTTTCACTTCCAACTTTCATATGTATGAAAAAGAGTGAGGTGCTATGGCACAGCCTCAGCAAATGAATGCTCTGTCAGTGGCACCCCTTTAAGCATGAAGTAAGCAGTGATCCTCGGCTTGTTGGCTTCTCAAAGGGGAGCCCCAGTTCTGAGAAGGAGAAGAAGAAGTAGAACTCCTGAACCTTGCTTCTGTTAAACCTCCAGAACCGTGCACACATCCGTCAAACATAAAAATAAGCCAATTACAATCTCTGCTATTTTCAGCAATAAGAAAATAACCTGCTGGGGGCACAGGCAGCCTGCAGGGAAATCTCTCCTCCTGTAGCTCCAGACTCATGCTGGCTGCTGAACATTGGATCCAGGCAAAAAGAGGACGCGCAGAGGTTATACATCAATTTACTAGAATTTTCCTTTCACTGTGATCTTCCAAATACCCCAGTGTCAGACAGGTGCATGGTGGCATCACCAGTTCAGCCAGTCCAGGGGAACTGCACCATGGCTAGCACCAGAGAACAGTCACATGCTGTGGGAACAGTGTCTTCTGCAGATCAGGAACGGAGAGAAAATACAGCTAACACAAAAACTGGCAAGAGAATTACACCAACAGTGCACTCCCACAAGCATCTGAGATGTAGCAGCCTAAAATCTAAGCAGTGCAGACAGCTCGTGTTCCAGAGAGAACAGTGCAGATTGGCCGCTATTAGAGATTTTCACTGAACGTAAGTTTAAAGTTCTGTTTTAAACTAAATTTATAGTACTATCAGTTTAGTTCCTCAGCAAAAACCTGTAGGTGTTCATCTTTAGTATCCAGATGTTTTAGGGTAAATCTACTCCTTTGTAAATAAAATGCTAAAAGACTTACTCAGAGAAATCCAAACATTGCTTGGATTCTGGGAGAGCTGATAGGCACCCAGTCCAGCCAGACTTCCAAAGAGCAGCCCAGCAGCCAGCGATGGAACACTGCCTGAATCAAGAAAAGACAACACATTTATTGGAAGCTCAAGAACAAACTCATTACTTGTTTTGTAAAACACTATAAATAACAAAAAACGTGGACATTCATTGTTGTGAAACAGAGAAATGAGGGAGGGGAAGGGGGGTGTCTTATAAGATTTTAAGGCCATGCTGACCTGAACCAAGAATCATATCAGATACTCTTGCACGTGATACGAACAGCATCAGTATTTAAATCCTTAAGTCATGAATGTATTTATGGCAGAAAGACCAATGAGAAAAGTGAAAGAACTGATGTTTTCTTTTTGCAGACAAAAGTACTTTGTTTCAGTGCAACGATTCCAGAATTTCTTGAAAAGCAGTGCATGTTTAAGATCAGAAAAAAGTGGTGAGAACTGAACGAGGTGGGAGGGATTTACACAAACAAGAAGTTTCCAAAGTAGAAAGGAGTCAAACACCCTGGGCTCACCTCGATCAAGGGATCAAGTTCTCAGCACAAGTGATAATCCTGAACTACACAACACAGGTAATTTGTTCATTGAGCAGTGAAGTGACAAGACCACTGGGGGGTGAATGCTTTCAGTCAGGCAAATGGAGAATTCAGGACTTACTGTTCATGATCTGAATTCCCACAGCCACGTCCTCCCTGCCCAGTCAGACGTCTCCCACACCATCATGGCCTCAGAGTAATGCTGAAGAAATTAGTTACTGAAGTTCTCAGTATTTGCGCCAGGGGAAGTTTAGGTTGGGTGTCAGGAAACACTTCTTTACAGCAAGGGCTGTTAAGCACTGGAAGAGGCTCCCCAGGGAGGTGCTTGAGTCACCATTCCTGGGTGTGTTTAAAAACCATTTGGATGTGGTGCTCAGGGAGGTGATTTAGCAGAGGGTTGTTAGGATAGTATGGATAGGTTGTGGTTGGACTCAAGGATCTCTAAGGTCTTTTCCAACCTGAGCAATTCTATCATTCTGTTGTCTCTCCTGCTCTGAACTCCACTTGCAGCCCAAAGGAAAAAGCAAGCCAGCAGAAAGCAGGCTGGAGTGGGCACGAACACCTGTGTAGTTGTATCTACTGGGATGCTTCCTGGTGTCTTCCATAATGAACTCATACACCTTCGTATTGCAAATATTATGTAAAAGCACTTTCCAAATAGAAAATTTCAGGAGAGATGAATCCACACCTATGCCCAGAGTAGGGCAAAGTGGGAAAGCGAAAGCAACAGGGTGGCAACTCAGCACGTGACGGGGAGTCCGGGAAAGGACCGAGCTTAACAACAGAAGAGCATTTCTGAAGCGATCCACGCCAGTGCAGCCGCACCGCCCAACGCCGAACCGGGCTATCGGCGCTCCGCAGGAGGCGGACTGCGGCTTATCGGGCCCAGCAGCAGCTCTTCCTATGGCACCGCACCCCGAGCCCCGCTATCAGCGCCCGGCACAGCCTCTCGCTTCTCCCCCTCGGGACCGCGAGGTGGGGGGCTGTCGGAACAAGCAGGGAAGAGGGTCGGAAGGCGCTTCCAGCACCGTACCTGCTTTAGCGTAGCCAATGAGCCCTCCCGATGTCACCAGAGCGGCGTAGCCGAACCCGATCCAATCCACGGCCATGCTGAAAACCGGAAAATAAACCGGGGGGAGGGGGAGTCGTTCTAAACGCGGTTGGGGAGGGAGGCAGATAATAACAAGGATATTTGTTTGCCGCGGGAGGACCTGCCCGAACCCCAAGCCAAGAAGTGACACGCAGGATGAGCTGGGAAAGCAGCCGTGGGGCCGGCTATGGGGCTGGCTATAGGGCTGGCCGTAGGCAGGAGCGGAACCCGGCGGTGCCCACCTACCGGCCTGCAGCGGGGCGGAGCGGGGCGCCTTGCGGAAGGGGAGGCGGAAGGGAGTCGCAGCGCGGAGACGCCCCGTTCCGTCCGATTCGAGGGAGAAGCGACAAAAGAGCCCGCCCGTGCTGATGGGTGGGAATGGGTGTCTTCTCATTCGGCTAGAGTTGCGAGTAAAGCGCCTGGGGTGCTGAGGAGGCCCCCAGGCTGCGGCTTCTGGTTTGCTTCGAAGTTCTTGTGGCGTTTTACCACTGCCACCCATCTCGCTGTTCGTAAGGCAGGATGAGCTTTTTCATTTCTGGTACCTCTTTGGGTCGGCCTCTCCCAGGTGACACCGATAGGGCGAGAGGGAACGGCCTCAAGTTGCACCAAGGCAGGTTCAGGTTGGGTGTCAGGAAAGATTTCTTCTCCTCTGAGTGGTGAGGCACTGGAATGGGCTGAGGTGGTCAAGAGTTGTGTGGATGTGGCACTGAAGGACGTGGTTACTGGGCATGGTGGGGATGGGTTGGCAGTTGGACTTAATGATCTCAGTTGTCTTTTCCAACCTTACCCATTCTGTGATTCTTTTTCTCTGCTGCTGCCTTCTGTTGTTCTAGCTAGTTCTCTGAAAACCAGAATGGAAAACATTCTGAAAGGGACAGCGTGCACCAGAGAACAAACTGCAGCGCTGCCAAGCACTGGTTGGTGGCCAAGCATGCACTCAAGGTATATGAAACAAGTTTTGCTTCCAAGACTTTCTGCATTTCATCTTAGAAGCTGTTTGCACTGGATTTCTCAGTCTCCTGTTCACAAATTGTTCTGAATCTGATGAGATGATATGTTAGTACCAAGGGAGTTTGGATTTTTACAAATGTGCAATTTGATTCGTAAGCCTAAAGCTCCAAACCAAAGATCCATGGAATTTTTGCTTTTTCATTCTTAAAATGATGTGCAGACTGGGTTTTTGCTGGTGCTCGTGACACCTGGCTTCAATAGCAATGATGCTCATGGCCATGGGCTCATGTATTTGAAATTTCAGTGGAAATTGCTCTACTAGTGACAGCCATTTTGCTAAGCACAGACATAAGACAAAAAATTTTAAATCTCTTGTACTTCATGAAGTATAAACTTCAATGAGAGGAAAATGTAAGTTCTACGTTAGCTGTAGGAGCCTATTGAAGTTAAAAACAACCCTTTATTGCTGGGCTCATTTAAACGGAGTACACTGCCTATTCAGACGTGGTGTTCTCATAACTCATCTAAATAAAGGGAACAGTTGCAAAGGAGAAACAGACATCTGCCTTCAAGAGAAGATTGCTATTGGCACATGAGCAATCTCATAACAGCTCAGATGCTCTGTTTCAATATCTGAGCATTCTCAGAGCCAGGCTGGAGTTGTACCTTATTTTACAAGCCTAAGGCAGGAGGCTGCATTTCTGGTTCCAGATTGGGCTCACTCTTCTTCCTGTTTTTTTCCCTGTACCTTTTCTCTGGTGACACTGATATGGAAGAGCATATTGTTATTAAACTGAGTAAGGATAAAGCCTAATTCCAGTTACCTTATGAAAACAGAATAAATAATGACTATAGTATAGGAAAACAAAACATTAGAATCCCTTCATTTAAAAGAACAAAGAGAACTTTGAGGTGGACAAGGTCAAATACTACACTTTGTTTTTCCCACTGTGTAACTGAAATAAGACTTAGGACAAAATTCTGTTCTTGCTGACTGAGAATGCTGAGAATGCACTTTCTGTTTGAGTGCAAAACAGATGGCTGACATTTTATCAAGGTGACAAATGTTTCAAATGTTAGATATTTTTTTTTTAAACACCATGATTCAGATCAAGGACATGAAAAAATATGGTATGGAGAAGAGACAGTACAACCCTATTAACTCTTCCATTTAAACATACATGCTGTATTCTGAACAAAGGATTTCAATCATGTGAACCCCCAAAGCCAATCTATCTGTATTTCATTCACACTGGAATTTTGGAAGTTCTTGAAAGTATACAATGTAAACTTTTAATAAACACTCTTAAAGTGTTTCATTGAGTCAGGAAACTCCCATAAAAAGGGGGGACCTAGACCTTATATAGGGTGCTCATAGGGGGACTTAAAGAAAAAATTAAACGCATAGAGTAAAAAACCAAATATTCTGTTCACAAAATCTCTGAATAACTCTGGGTTAAGAACTAAAAAGCAGTTTTTTGTGAATGTATGAATGAAAAGTGATAATATTGTAAGTAATTTGAATATATTCCTTCTTAAAGTAGAAGTCATGAGAAACAAAGGCAGATTATAATTTCAGTGGTCTGAACAGAGAATTTTCAATGTAAGAATGACTTATGAGTAAAGAGTATAACTTTAATAGGTATTTAGCTGAGACAAAAATTTAACTGAGACAGATGTAGCTGTTTTTATCATTTTAGCTGCCTATTTCAGAATCTGTTAAAAAGTGTATGCTGCTGTAAATATAAAAATATAAGCATTACGTACTGTGAGTTTATTTCAGCCTCATTCTCTCAGGTAAAGTTGCCATCCCTTTTACTATTTCTCAGAATGATCAGCCAATTCATCTGGGTAAAAAATAATGACTCTTGAAAACCATATCAGTTCAGAGGTGTTTGTCCCGTCAAGAAGTTTTAAAACATCCTTGTAAAAACTACAGCAACACCAGCATTTACTTCTTATTCAGGAGAAAAAGCATTCGCCTTCATTCTGAGCTATTCGGCTTCTTTTTCTTCTTTTGCAGTGGAGCTTCCAATTTTCGCTTAGCTGGAGCAATTTGTCTGTGTTGTTTTGTCAGTTTACCACTTTTATTCGTCCCACAGACTTTCTTCTTCTTGTCTGCTGATGGCTTCTCATCTTCATTTGCTGAAAAAAGCAAGAAATTATTCACTCTGACATTTATTTCCAGTCTGTAGTCTAAAACATTACAGAGGCTTATTTGTATCTCCCATTAAAAAAGGAGGAATTTAAGCCATAACTGATTTACAGCAGTGTGTGTCACCTATGCTACTTTTTGTTAAGAAAATCCCTAAAGATCAAACATGGAAGTAACTCAGTATACAGGAAAACAACAGCAGCAAAAAAAATCAGCAACTCCTGCCACCAACCAACCAACCAACCAACCAACCCCTGGGCCAGACTTTGCCCAACTGCACTGGCATCAGCTCTAAGTTCATAGCAGTACAGGAACGTTCCGTTCTATCAGACTGTTCATTCCTTTGTTATCTGTCCTGAAAGCTTCAGAGTTCAGAGTTATTCCACTAAAGAGAAACAAAGCTTTCGTATCATAGAAGTGAAAAGATGTCCTCTCATTACAATGCAATGTATCACAAATTAAGTTTCCACAAACAGAAGAACCATTTCCCTCAATTCCAAATCATCATTCAGTTCCTGTGTGTGTCTGCTCACAAATAGTTTCCACAGTTGTGGCTTTATTAAGTGCAGGCCTGAGACTATTAAGTAGATGTAGATATCTATGCAACTTGCCACATCCCCAGTTCCTTAAACTACAAAAGCATACAGTAAAAACGTCCCATTCACTATCTTACATTTCACAGTCACGTTAACAACTGAAAATACAGATAATTTTATTACCTTGAGTTGATGTTGCAGTTTTTTCACAATTTTCTTTCATTTCTGAAGCTTGGTCAAGCCACACTGCAAGGCATGTCAGCCTAGCTTTGGTGCTGACTTCACATAATAAAGATGGCACGTTTTTAATCTGAATATGGAAAATTAATTAAACATCACTTCTATTTAAAAATGTACTAAATTATCTAAACTGAGGAAGAATTGTATGGCCCAGTTCCCACTTCTTTTCTGGAGAATCACAGAATCACAGAATGGCCTGGGTTGAAAAGCACCACAATGATCATACAGTTCCAACCCTCTGCTGTGTGCAGGGTCACCAATCACCAGACCAGGCTGCCCAGAGCCACATCCAGCCTGGCCTTGAATGCCTCCAGGGATGGGGCATCCACAGCCTCCTTGGGCAACCTGTTCCAGTGCTTCACCACCCTCTGAGTGAAAAACCTGCTCCTAAAAATGGTAGGGTGCCTAACAATGTTAAGAAGCAGAGGCTGCACGCAGGTTAATGGGCACAGTTACAGCCCTGTTTCTGCTACCACTTCTCAGTGGTGCTTTTTATAAAAAAAACTCCCAAGAGCTGCCAGTGCACATCTTGCTAAGTGACATCAGCATGCTTTACCATGCAGAGGTGGTCCGACACGATGAATGAGCAGACGAGTCACAGGCCCACAAAAAAAAGTGAATGTTTTCAGAAGTTTATCCAGATTACAAGGCGTTTTCAGTAGAGTTAAAATACTTTGAATTAAGTTACTGCACCAGGTTCTTTTTGTCCCTCACAAAAACATGGCTGCTGATTGAAAATAATCCTTACGTGGTGTGCTTCAAATTGCTTAACTGCATCTGTATGTGCAGCTCTGCAACTGTTGAGCAAAATCCTACTGCAGGTATCAAGGGTAATGTGTCACAAACACACGTGCAAAACAGCAGCACTGATCCTCTAGAAACTACTTCTAGTAGATGTATTGTGCCTCTCAGAGCAGGGCAGAGCAAGCCACACAGTTATGCAGGGGTTTACAAAGATTTGTGCAGTAAGAAGAAAGAAAATAAATCACACACTTGGTTAAAGTAAAGACAACGTTACAGAGGAAGTTAAAGAGTTCCTCGATCGCTATTTCAATCATGCAAAAGCAGACCTGGGATTTCAGACAAAGGGGAAAAAAGGATTCTCACTACTGTGCTTAAAAGAATATAAAAACCGTCACGAGGGCTGAAATTAAAAATGTATGAATTCAGAATAGAAATACAAAGTGAGATTTATTTCAATGTTAAGATATTTATAGCAGAATACAGTAGAGCCCTTATTATTGGGCACTAAATAAAAAATCTAATTCTGATTTTACAAGGCAAGTCCCAGAACAAAACAGTAAAGAAGGGGAACTTGAAAGATAAGGCACAATTCCTTGTTAAATTGTTGGAAAATACATGAAATAAATGTACACAGAATAGTAATGGACTTGGTGATTTAAGGTCTTTTCCGACCTGAGCAATTCTATGATTCTGTGATCTGAGTTTTTCTGCACAACAGTTTTTTGCACCTTTAAATGGTTAGCAACAGCCAACAGCACTACACAACTTCACTGCAGTCATTGTAACATACCTAACTGTTTGGACAGTGGTAAATTTTGCCAGCTATATTTGAAGAGAAGCATGATTTCATGTATAAAAGAGAGCTTCATAATCTGATTTTATAGCTTGTTAAAAGAAAAGATGTCAAAATATACAGGTGCATAAGCTATGCACATATATATGTGCACTGAATGTAATGGGGAGAAGGATCAAGACATGCAGATTACAAATAAAATTCCACCAGTGCTGTAAAATTGATTATTACAACAAAACACT